CCACTATTACTATTCTTATTAATACTATTACTACTACTACTACTACTACTACTGCTGCTGCTGCTACTACTACTACTACTACTACCACTACTACTACTACTACTACTCCTCCTGCTACTACTACTACTGCTACTACTACTACTACTACTACTACTACTACTGCTACTGCTATTGCTACTACCACCGCTGCTACTACTACGACTACGACTACAACTACCTCTACAACTACACTTACTACTACCACTACTACTATTACTACTACTACTACTACTACTACTACTACTACTGTACTACTGTACTACTGCTACTACTACTACTACTACTACTACTACTACTAGTACTCCTACTCCTACTACAGCTTCTGCTGCTAGTACTACACTTTTATTACTACTACTACTACTACTACTACTACTACTCCTGCTACTACTGCTACTGCTACTACTACTACTACTACTACTGCTACTACTACTACTACTACCACCACCACTACTACTACCACTACTTCTGCCATTACTACTACTACTACTACTACTACCACCACGACTACTACTACTACTACTACTACTACTACTAATATTACTACTACTACTACTACTACTACCACTACTGCTACTGCTACTACTACTACTACTACTACTACCTTTTCTACTACTACTACTACTACTACTACTACTACTACTACCACTGCTGCTGCTGCTGCTGCCACTACTACGACGACTGCCACTACCATCATTACTACTACTGCTACTACTGCTACTACTACTACTACTACTACTACGACTACGACTACTACTACTACTACTACTACTACTACGACTACTACGACTACGACGACTACTACGACTAATATTATTTCTACTACTACTACTACTACTACTACTACTACTACTCTTGCAGTGCTCAAAGCTGCACGAAAATCCACACTGAACGACAGTGCCTGCCAAAGCCTAGCGCATCGGGAAAAAAACTCTGTTCATGAGACATGCACCTCATGGGAATCGAAAAACGGCACCGCAAACAGCGCAAGTAGTATTGCAAACACGAAAACACAACGCAATCCAAGAGCAGAGGACGGCAACCATGGCACCGCGAAAATGCAGCTTCCAGAGTATCTCACCAGGAGCAGACAAGCACGCCCACCCCAACGCACTGGCAGACTAATAGGCCAACCTCCACAACCTCACAAGACACTATAAAACCTTGCAGGAAGCCATGCACAAACCATGTATGGCTCTTGTGTGTGTGTGTGTGTGACTCTGTAAGTAAGTAGGTAAGTAAGTAAGCAAGTAAGTAGGTAAGTAAGTAAGGTAAGTAAGTAAGTCAGTAAGTAAGTACGGAAGTTAGCAAGAGTAAGGGCAAGAGTAAAAGCAAAGAAGCTTGTCTTGAGGGTAACTGCCACTTTCCAGACTTCCGGATAAAATTACAATTACTAGCATGACACCCCAGATATACACTCACCGATACTCCTCACGAGCCCTATACACCACAGGCACTCACCAACACTCACCAAAGCCGCCTTGCAATCCCAAGCTCATGTGTCGTAACAGTGTTCAAGTTCAAGGGATGACACGACTCACGCATGTCCGAGGATACAATGCATGGCCGTACAGCTAAAGCTTCAACCTGACGACCTGCTTTGAGGAATGCAGCGCCTGAAACCGTGCCCCAGCTTGGCTATCGCTCGAACATGGAAACTCGTGCTGTGCACCGGATTTGTTGTGATCAATGGCTGGGCCAACTTGCCTGTTGGCGGCCTGGGCGAGAACTGACAGAGCAAGTCCAAAGTTGCTGTGTCTTGCTGTTTAAAAAATTGCAGCGGACAACAGAGCTTGCTCGCAGTGTCGTTGTTTCCACCTCCACGCTTCCTGTTGGGAAAATGGCAGCTGCAATCGAAATGCGCTCAGCTCTTGCCTGATCTTGCAACACTCGTAGACTGTTCGAATGCAAAAGTCCATCACGGCATGACCGTCTTATGGCCTTCACTTTTTTGCAGTCTCGCAATCGCACTCAAGCAGCAGCGGGCCTCGGCAACCCGCAAGGCGCAATAGACTGTATCAACTCAAGCCTCGCAGCATAAGATCTTAACCGCTTCAGCCGGTGACCCTCAACACAGCGTGAGCATTTTGAGTCAAGCGAAAATCCTGAAGGCGCGCTCTAATGGTCTGAACACTGCGGTGGAGTTGTGTGCCTATGTGCAAAGACACAGATCTAAGTATATATATATATATATGTATGTATGTTTTATATGTATGTGTATGTGTATGTGTATGTGTATATGTATATGTTTGTGTATATGTATATGTATATGTATATGTATATGTATATGTATATGTATATGTATATGTGTGGTTTTGTATATGTATGTGTATGCGTATGTGGTGCATGTGTATAGGTATATGTGTATATGTGTATATGTATATGTACATATGCTATAGGTGGGGAAGAAGCAGCACGTCTAGTTGCACCGAGGTAACAACTTGACGACTGCGCTCCCGATAACTCGCCTTCTTGTGGCATTCTGGCTGGAGCAAAAGCCGATTTTTTTCTAGAGGAGTGTTGGTGATGCTTACATCTGCCAACGAACATGATCGGCAACTGTTTCTATGCAAACATGTCCGGGCATGCACATTGAACATACAAAACAGCATTGTATCCTTGCTGGCAGCGATCTGCCGCCATACCCTCAATCCTACATGCTATTGGTCGGCAACCCGGAACCACAGAGCCCCGGCCAAAAGAACACGTTTGAAAAACCCTGCAAACCAAGGAGTGCGCTAGTTTCGCCTCACCATGCGAGTCACCGTCCAGGTGTAGCGGACGGTGACGACCTGGCACACATGTGCGTAGGCTTGGCATGACCCTCGCACAAGCATCAGGACGTTATTCCCCAAACAGCTTTAGCTGAAGGGTTCTTGATTTGCTTAATAGAAAAAGNNCTCTAAAAACCGCTACTCATTTGTCTCCCACTTGTTTCCCATTTGTCTCCCACATTCTGGATGCTGTAACGCTCGTCTGGGACCCTTGGTTCTACTCGTCATACTCATTTGTCTCCCACTTGTCTCCCATTTTCAACTGCTGTTTGGGGTCGAGGCTGGTATAATTTAAATCAAACGGAGTGTCTTTTTCCTCTGCATGGGGGCCCATAGATACGGCTCGAAGTCGGCATCTAGACGGGAGTCACAGTAGTGCTGGTGCCAGCACCAGACCAGGTGGGGCAGTGGTGGTTGTCGCGGGCGTCGTAGAGGCACCAGAAGCGGCAGAGGCAGTGGTAGTATGGGAAGTGATAGCAAGCGGTGGTGGTCGTACTGGTGGTGGAAATGGTAGTGGCAGTGGTGGTGCTAGTCGTAGTAGTCCACGTCGATGTCGACGCCGTGGTAGTGATGGTGGTGGTGGTAGTAGTAGTAGTAGTAGCAGCAGCAGTAGCAGTAGAAGTAGCAGTAGCATTGACGGTGGCAGTGGCACTGGCAGTGGCAGTAGTAGCAACAGCAGCAGCAGCAGTAGCGATAGCGGTAGCAGTAGTAGTGGCGGTAGCAGTTGTGGGAGCAGCAGCAGCAGCAGGAGCAGCAGGCAGCAGCAGGAGCAGCAGCCAGCAGCAGGAGCAGCAGCAGTAGCAGTAGCGTGGCAGTAGCGTGGCAGTAGCAGTAGCAGTAGCAGTAGCAGTAGCAGTAGCAGTAGCAGTAGCAGGTAGCAGTTGCTAGCAAAAGCAGCAGCAGCAGCAGCAGCAGTAGTAGCAGTAGTAGCAGCAGGAGCAGCAGGCAGCACGAAATAACCGTAGTAGCTGCAGTGGCCGCAATAGCCGTTGCAGCAGCCGTGGTAACAATAGTAGCAGCAATAGCCGTAGTAGCTGTAACAGCAACGGTAGCAATAGCAATAGCAACAGGAAAACCAATAGCAGTAGCCATAGCAACAGGAATAGGAATGGCAATAGCCATCGCCACAGCAACAGCGATAGCAATAGCTCTAGCGTAGCAGCAGCAGCAGTAGCAGCAGCAGCAGTAGCAGCAGCAGCAGCGGCAGCAGTAGCAGCAGCAGTAGCAGCAGGAGCAGTATTAGGAGCATTTGTAGCAGCAGTACTACCAGTAGTAGTCGTAGTAGTACGCAGCGGCGTTGTAGTGATAGCGGTTGTGGTCAAGGCCGTGGCTCCGAAAGCCGCGGCCAGAGAAAACAAACAACCATATCACTGAACCCTGGGGTTGCGCCTTGCTCGGCACCTGGCAGAAGTGCATGGCGACACTCTCCTTATCAGCTGCTGTTCGGGCGCCGCGACGATCGCGGTCGTGGTGATCATGATTCTGCTTCTGCCAATACTGATGCTGGTGCTGCTGATGACGGATGAGGATGATGCTGATGCAGATGCGGATGCAGCTGATGCTGATGCTGCTGATGCAGATGCTGATGCTCAAATAAGATGATAGATGATGACGATGATGATGATGGTGGTGGCGGCAGTTGTGATGATGGTGCGTGTTGATGTGGTAGTGTGGTGGTGTGGTGGTGGAGATGGTGCTGGCAATGGCAATGGTGATGATGATCGTTATCATGATGACGACGATGTTGACGTTGATCACCATTGCGGATACGGTGATGATGCGCATGACAGTTGGGGCTGAGCCCGGCGATTATGAAGTTGGTGGTGGCGGTGGTGGTGGTGCTGCTGGTAGTGGCGGTGGTGGTGGTGGTGTTGGTGGTGGTGGTGGTGTTGGTGGTGGTGTTGGGGTTGTGGTTGTGGTTGTTGTTGTTGTTGTTGTTGTTGTTGTTGTCGTTGTCGTTGTCGTTGTTGTTGTTGTTGTTGTT